TAAATATAGTTATATATGTGAAACGTTAATATTAATGTAGGACATTTGTGATTGAAATTGTAAATCTCAGATTTAGGGTGATAAAAGTATATAGAAATAAGAAAAAGGGAATAAATATAATATTTAGAGTAAATATAAGATTTAGGATAATAATATAAAGTGAGATAATTATACGATTGAATAAAAATAATGATAATCAGGTGATAAATTATAAAAAGGGAATTTCATATAATCAAAGAAAGATTATCGAATTAGAGAAATTTATGTTACTACAGTAACAGTATTATGAGTTTCATTATTCAAAAATTGAAGTAAGTTATAATAAATTGTTAAATCTATTTTTGTAGTTGATTAATTAAATATTTTTAATAATCAATATAATTTATTCAAGATAGAGTATTAGCATTATGATTTATTTTTCAGATTGATAACTAATTATGAAATTATATTTTATCATCATTATAATTCATTAGAAGATTCTTGATGTTGAGTTAATTTGTTTATCATAATGTATTATAATCAGTTATTATTTCAAAAATTATTCTAAGTAAGTAATATCTGAATTGTTGAATAGCTCAAACTATTACTAAGACTTTTTTTTCAGTTATATTATATTAGGTTTCAGCTTGTTTAAGAGAATATCAGGTTTCAGCTAGCTTAAGAAATATACTTGAATATGTAATTACTTATTCTTAATTTTTTTCATCTTTTTGTGAGAATACAACTTCTAGTTCAAAATCAAAATATCAATATAAAGATAGAATTCTTTGTAAAGTCAGAATCAGAGAAGTAATAAGTATTTCTTTGAGTTTATTGAATGCAATTTCTTGATCAATAGTTCAGATAATTCTTGTAAAAAAATGGATTATTTTTGATTTAGAAATTCCTGATTTTTAAGTTTGAAAATTTCTGAATTTTTTTCTGATTTCTAATATTTTTCTGAATATAATCAGAATATATATGTAAATTAAATGGTATTTTTCTGGAATAAAGTCAGAATTTATATGCAAGTTAGACAGGATCTTTTTTTATTTTTCTGAAATAGAGTCAGAATATAAGTGAAAGTTAAACGAATATAAAATTATATTTATTATTACATAATTATAGATCATACTCTAAATATTCTAAATGTTTTATATATTTATATTTGAATATTCTATTACTTTTATAATAATTGAAGAAATATCAGAATTATAATAGAAAAATGTCAAAATTATAGTAGAGGAATATCAAAATTGATAGTAAAGAATATCAGAATTGATAATAAAGAAATATTAGAATTGTAGTAGAAAAATATTAAAATTGATTGTAAAGAAATATCAAAATTAATAATAGAAAAAAGTTGGAATTATAGTAGAGAAATATCAGAATTGATAGTAAAGGAATGTCAGAATTATAGTGAAGAAATATCAGAATTAATGGTAGAGAAATATTGGAATTAATGGTATAATGAAAAATTGATCGACAAATATGAATCGGACACTTTAGGACATAACGATAATATCTCGATATATAGTTATCCAATTTGAGCGAAAATACTACCATTCGATTTGCCGAAACTAGGCAAATCAAATAGTAGTATTTTCGCTCAAATTGGATAGCTATATATCGAGATATTATTGTATTTAAAGCATGAAAATTTATGAATATACAATACCCGATATAGAAGCTCTACCAATCTGTAAAAGGCATCATGATCAGAATTTGTAATGTTCCCTGTACATGTATCCGGAAATTTTCATAACATTAGACATGATTTTCGGAAAGTTATGGGGGTCGGTTACTTATGATTTGTACTGTACCTTCGTTTGGAACAAACAAACTGACACTCGTCAACCCTAACATTCGATATAAATTTTAATTAACCTGAAACGATAATATCGATATGATTTATATTTAGAAATAGAAAGTACCTGTGTCAGTTGGAATTGAAATTAATTTTGAAGTAAACATTCGACTGTTGTAAACTGCGTTTGAGTGGAATTCTTGCTTTTTGATTATATTCGTAGGAATGCTTTTCATCTTCTCGTCAAGGTCGTATAATTTCTGCTTTTCTAGTTTAAGACACTCAATAATTTCTTCATCTGTTTTAGGAGATTTTAAAGAACTGTAGTACTGAAAAAGCAAAGTATTCAGTTTTCTATCATATCCGCAGATAGACCAGATAAAGTCATCAAGTTCCTCAGAAGTTGGTCTGTTTTCAGGAATAGGATCCCAACATTTTTCAGTAATAAACTTGAATAATTGAGGAACATTATTTGGTATCATAGGTCATACTCCGTTATAAATGTCAAATACGAGATCTATACCATGACTCTACCCACCAAATTGTCGTTCATCTGTACGTAATCATCCCAAATTCAATTTTTCGTAGTTGGAATTCATATACATGTATTTACGTAGATCGCTATCTTTTGCAGAATCTATCACTATCAAGTATTCATTTGTAGCTGGATTGTTAGTTATTCCATAATAATTTAGGTCACCCCAATTGCACTTCAGAGCAGTTAGAATCTAATTTTGAAAAAGTGAAAAAAAAAGAAATATGCTTACACTTGAAGGTGTTCATTTTACCTCGTTTCTAAACTCGGATGTAATTTGTTTGAATTGTGTAATGATTTCAGAACAACCTCCCGTTCTCCCTGTCGTATAAATTTATTTTTTTATGATCCCACATTTTTAATGTTCCGTCCAACCAGGATGCTTTTAAATTGATCCGAAACCACCTTTTGCAAGATATTCAACATTGGTAAAGCTTTCAAAAGGGATCCATTCGAATACTTTATTTTGATATTTATCAATAAGATTATTGCATTCATTTATTAGACTGTCGATATCTTTATTTCCACTAGCCATATAAATTCGTTTGCGATATAGATAACATCCATCACAGTCCTCATTGTTTTGACACCAATAACATTTACTACAATCATGAGTATTGTGAACTGAACACTCCTCGCAGAACTTATATACTTTACAATCCTCACAGTTCTTACTACAATCATGAATATTGTGAACAGAACACGCTTTGCAGTAGTTGAGGTATTTGCGTTGACAATCGTCACATCCACTATAATCATGAATATTAGATGATACCTTTGAGTTTAATAGTGATGATGGCAGTGATTTATGTCCAAAACGAAGATTTATATGTGGTGGAGTGGAAGTCGTCATCATTCACATGTGTTTGTCAAATGTTTATGCATGAAAAATGATGTAACGTAGATACGTCACAATGTGCATGAAATGAAGAAGAGTAAAAATGGGAATTAAATAAGATTACAACAATTCCTTGTAGTAAAACTAACACTTTAGAATCAATACGTTCTACTGTTCTACGATGGGTTAGAAGAGAGAATACGTTAATTGATTCATAATAGATTACATAATATATTTTATGAAATAAGTACCCTAGCAAGCTAGCAAGTAGCAAGTACCCTAGTCATAGCGAAAAAAAAGTTATGGGTTCCGTGGCAGTCAATAAGAATGCGTGAATTTTTGATCTGCTAGTGATACAAACCAATAAAATGCATAAATTTTTGATCAGCCCGGCAAAACAAATCTGACACAAGAAAATAAAAAAAGCAAAAAATGTAAAATATATGAAAAACAGATGCCTAAATCTAGTTTGATAGACTAACAAAAAATATCAAGAAGGCAATTTTATATATAACTCTGATCTCAGATCTAATCCTAACCTTTAAATTAATCTTTAACAATAATCTCTATTATCGTAGAATTTTTCCGAACATACCAAATATCACATGATCTGTAACTATTTTTTGCCATAGCTAGAATATCTAAAGATCATAGAATCCATAGAAATGTAATATAAAATCTGAAATTAGTGTCTCTTATTGGATTATTAATTTATATAGACATTCTCTAATTTCACGTCCAAAATAAGGCTCATGATAAATATTAACGGAAGTTTACGGATAGTGCTGAATCATGTGATCTGAATCATGTGGTCTTTAACATGAGAAAATAAAAATATGAAAATTGTGGAAAACAGATGTTAAAATATAGCTTGAAGTACTAATAAAAATATCAGCAAAGCAATTTTACATATAACCTTATCCTCAACTCTAACTCCAACCTTAACCATAATCCAAATGATAAAATAACCTTCAACGTCAATTTTCCGTGATCACGTGAGTGTTAATTTTTGAAGATCACTGATCCAGCACTATTTGTAGACTTCCTGAAATATTAATACCCTAGCCACAGCAAAAAAAGTGTCAGCCACGTGATTTCAATCCTGATATCGACCATTCGATATCTCTTAAAATGATGCACCAATCAATCACAAGATAAAACAAATACTTACTTTTGAAAAATAGCTTGTATCTTGAAATTTTACTTATGAAACAATTATTTGTGTTCTAACAAAAAATTTTTCTTGCGGGCTCTACACTTAGCTCGATAATGTCGGTAGCTACCATCGCCTCACAAGTACTAGAAATCTGATATGCATTCACATCAATCTCACTATTCTCGTTACGAATTTACTCGAGAATTTTCTGTAGATGCTCAATTTTGTGACATTGGGATTTTTAGTTTGCATCGCGTGGCAGAGAAATAGCATTCTTGGGAAGAAAGAAAATAAGAGTCAATGTGTCACTTGCAAATTACTTTTCCTCCATAAGATCAGTGTATATCATTCTGACCTCGTGATTATTCGAATTGCAATATTTTAATATCAATTAGAATTAGCGAACGTTCTATTGGTCTGTACGTAATTTCATAAATCTCACTTTGAATAATCCACAAGCAGCAGCTCACTTGTCAACTGACTCTTCTTCATTCCATGGGAGATTGAGATTTAATCCATTCGTTTGGTTTCCTGTGATGGCTCATAAATCACCTCCACAACTGTTTTTTAATGGAACATCAGGGTAGATAAGGCTCACACTGTCCATATAAATATTCAAACTGTTGATATCCAGTAGATCGCCAAAAATTGATGAAGTCATTAACGTTAATGATATTTGATGTCGAAAATTCCATACAAAAATTGCTACAAAAGTTATAACATCAATTAATCGAATCAATAAGAGGAATGCAGTTAATGTTGATTGTTCTTTTACTTGTTGTAATGTCACTGCACTCGGTTGACATTTTGTACAAATACCTTCCGGTCAAGGAGCATGACTATTCAAGCAACGCTGCTTGACACGGTAATCTGGTTCCTCTAGAGGTGGAATAAATTTGGCATTGGTGCCAGTTGTCTTTTCATGGATATTTATGAAAATTGCAAAAAGAGTATGTAAAGACATATGTTATATTTGATCAGATTTTCTGCCAAATAATTAGCATCGTATGGCTAAATCAATAATTGAATGTCAATACAGAATTAATGTTATCAAGTAACAACTCAAAAAAAAAAGACATCTACTATTTACCTCTAACGCATCCCCTCTTTAGATCTAATGCGTATAATTTTGAGTTTCAAATAGAAAACAGATCAACAAAAAGACTATTATTATAATGTTTTGAAATTACCATATTTTATAGTCTTAATTGGAAGAAAAATGCAGTAACAACAAATATTCTAGGTTTTACAAATATAAATTCGATATACGTATGTAAAAAAAATGCGTGTTTAACACGTCAACTTTCTAGCATAATTAAATATTACGTAATTTAGAGAACGATTAAATCGTAGTCCATCACGTGACATATCTTAAAAATATTAAAAGGTAATTTTAACGTTAGGGTTAGGGTTATATTTAAATAGCCTTCCCGACATTTTTAATTAGTGCTCCAAGAAAGATTTAAGCACCTGTTTTCCGTATTTTTCACTTTTTGTCTTTGCTTCAAATTTGTTTTGCCTGCCGGGTTGATTAAAAATTTACGCATCATCATTGGTTTGTTCTTCGGACAGACTATCGGATGAACTACGCTTTAACCGATCTCTGAAAAGACATGCTTTGATCGGATAAAATAACAAAGTTCTTACTTGTATTGCCTGTGAATACAATATTATTTTGTTTTCTTGGTCAAACTTCAAATCTTGTGAGTAATTGCAAGTAGTGGATGCTCCTCCACTTTAAATAAGCCATCGATTTCTTTTAAATTGTTATTTTGATTTGTCTTGAACAGGCCGTCTCAATAAGTCCGGTTGTGTTTGAGATTGTTCCGATAGCCAATGAAATAACGAGACATAATTTTATTGTTTTATTATTGATTTTCTCTACACAAGGCTATTCAATTTGCTATTCTATTTGAAACGCCCTTAATATTAAAAAGGTCAATTGCGTACAAGTCGCCACGGGAAACCTTTAGAACGATCAGGGAAACCCCCTAACCGTAGATAATCCAGTTTAGTTCTCATCTCTTTTGCGAAAAACCCTCTTTAGCTTTTTATTACCCACGACGCAAAGTGTAAACAATAAAAGATTGTCTAACACGACGACAAGTAAATCAATTTAGATCATTTCACTAAATCATAAAGTTTATCCTTACAGAGGGCCATTTATTATTTAACCTCCATTTGTATGTTTTTTTGTGTTTTGTGTTATAGAACTTCTATTCGCGTGTGTGAATCAATTCTGCGTTAAACTTTTTTTATGTATTTGATATATTAAAAGAAGAGACTTTATTATTCCAATAAATCAGACATGAAATTAAATTTAATTGATTAACAAATTCTTTTTAACAGGCAATAAAATAATATTAACAAATGCAGTAAGTGTTATCCGAACCCGTTTACCCCGACATGATGTTTCTCCAACACGATGGGATATTGTGATATAATCTATTAACTGGTTAGCTTTTGCATGGAATTAATAGGTTAGGGATAGAATTAGAGTTAATATTATATGTAAAAGTCCTCCCCAACATTTTTGCTTAGTACACCAAGCTAGATTTGTCAGGAAAATATTATGTCGGAGATGAAATGTCATGTCGGGGATATGGGTGGTCGGTGAAATAGGTCGAGGATATGGGAAATGTTGTGTTGGGGAAGGGGCTTTAGTCTAAGAAATCTAAATGGGATATCTCATTATTGGCTAACCTAGCTTCTCGAATTAATGTTTCTCATAGATATTTCTTCCCGAATTTTGACTCCTTTTGGTGTTATACAATCCAACGAACAAAGAGGAACACTCTTCCACTCTTTCGATGTAATAGATTTTGTTACTTGTACATAGTCCTCGAGTCACAAGCTGGATCCTATGCTAATGCATGGAATGCACGGATATATAATGTGAATTAACTCATAAGCTTCCTTTTATTTTTTTGCGGACTGAACGAACCACCCTCGTGATTATGCGATTTCTACAACATAAATACAAAGTCAGAGGCCCTATCGTCTCAATAGTAGAAACGAAATTTTTGCATAACAAAGTATACTCGTAACAAGGAGCCTGCCTGGGTAGTTGATCTATCAATGCAAAAGGGACTCTTACACACTAATACTATAAAAAAATTCGAAATCATATATACCGGTTCGGGTTGAAAAAATGATCTCATTATACTCTGCTGGTAAGGTCGAATTTTATTCTTTTTCGAGCCTACGTTTTTTTATTATAGCGAACGTGACGCGACTCCTTCTTGCTTGGACGGTTTCTCTTGCGACATAATAATGGGACTAGAAAAACAATACTATTCGACGAGCCGTTAAGGTTAAAACCCTAGAGCCAATTTTCAGATTTCAAGAATATAAAAAAATTCTGTTTTATAATAAAAATATTGTACAAATTTATTTTTTTATATTAAATATTTTATTACAAGTAATAAATAAAATTTAATTACCTATGTCCTGCTCAAGAAGAATAGTACGCATTTACTTTTGCGATAAAAAAAGAAGTCAGCATACTTCATGCGTAATAATAACCACCTGAACCACAACAATCATCATTCGTCCCCTATTATCGGCAAAATATGTTTCCAATAGAAACGTTTAGGAAAAAATCAATCTGAGTGAAAAAAATAACGATCGATATATCGATATGCAAAATGACTCTGTATATATCCATTAGGAATTTTTTAGTGTAACTTGCGGCGAACCAATTAGAAATTCAATATCGAGTTACGTGATTTTTCTACTTTTTTTAAATGGCAAGTACATTAATATATAATGTAGCGATAATGATAACAATGAATAATTTAGATTTCTCATTTTTTTCATTATAATTGATGTAATCATTGTAGCATATGACTAGGAATTGTACTTGTTGGCTCCAAACGACGTTTTCGGGTTGGGGAAGGATGAAGATATTGGTGAACTATAATTTGTTTTTCTATCGTGAAGCCAACAAATTAAAAAATTATATTTTTCTATCCCTTTAATATGATTCTATAACGAGTATATTTTGCTTTGAATTGTATAATAATTTTAACGTAACTTTATATTTACGTATATTTTCTTCAGATCCCACCTTTTGTCTTTTAATATTATTATTTTCTCTTAATTCAATAAAAATGAAATCTTTCCTCTTTTATTTGATTCTTCCGACACGTATTCAATAGGACGTTTGCTGGTCGTTTTATGCTCTTTAAAATCTAGTGTTTGTTAAGAAAAATAGTATACAATATTTAACTGTTGAAATGTACATGTATAACCAAAATCGTACGACTAATAAATTTTACCTTCATTTGTTTCGTTTTGAATATCTATATCATATTCAGTAGTCACATATTCGTTTGGAACAAACAAACTGACACTTGACATTCCTAGACATTCGATATGAATTTAATTAATATGA